CATTGTCCCGTGTACTGAGGACAAGAGCACAGACAATTCAGATGACTTGCATAAGATCACAAACCTGGTAACTTTGGAACTGGGATTGGAGCCCATTTCTGACCCTGAGCCCACATACTAGTCCACTATTCCTGGGGTCTCCAGGGGCTCCCCAGGCCACTCATGCTGAAGGGTGCCCACCTCTCTTCTCACAAGCTCTTGGCCGCAGCTACCGATCGTAGGAAGGACCAGGAATCTTGGTCTGTTCTCTCTAGATGTCTGTCCGTAACTCCACAGCCCTCTTACACACATCTGCATGATATACCGAGGTCCTTTCCCAAACTGCATGGAGAGAGAAGAAAGAGTTAAATTGCTTCTATGTTTTTGTGCTTCCTCCTCCTCCTCCTCCTCTTCCTAGTAGGGTCTTATATTCACATTATTTTCTAAGCCACACTTTCTTCCAGGCCCAGTAAGGGGCCTTTGCCTAGCCACGAGGAGGATGGGATTGTCGGTCAGACCGCAGGTATCTGCCCGGATGTGAGAAATGGCTGTGTGCAGAGAATCTCAGTCAGTGCCGTTGGACCCGCCTCTTCAGCAGGGACCTGTTGACTCTCATGTGCTAGGCACTGTGCTGGAAAGAAGGCAGAGTCAGGTCCTTGAGGTACCCATACATTGAATAAGTCAGCACTATTTCTGTGACGTGCCCTCAGAAAGCCCTGAATAATAGCCATGACCGTTTGTGCTGTGCCTGCTCCATCGCTTGTCTCCTAGTGCTCAGACCCATCTCGTACCGTAGCAGGGTGGTTTCCCTTTTATACACGAGGGACTTACGGCCAAGCAGAGTCAGCGGTGTCGTCCATGCTCGTACTCCAGTCAGTGGGACAGCAAGAATTCAAAACCAGGCTCATCCGACTCCAAAATCCATGCCCTTGACCACACCTCCTAAGAAGGAGGTCAAGCCGGCCGGGGATGAACTTTCAGACAACTGACTTTGTGGGTGTTCTTTGAACCTCATGTAGGAATCACCGGGAGCGGGAGGGGACAGGCACTGCCCAGGCAAGGAACAGGGGGCAGCAAATAGTATCAGGCTTAACAAATAGTATCTTGGAGATGGAGAAACTGTGCCAGTGGCCAGAGAAGAGGTGTAAATGAGGACTCTGGACGTGTGGACTGTGGGTATGGGGCCACAGCCTCCGACGGGATGACTTGTCTGGGTGACGGCAAAGTTGTGACCATAGCATAGCTGGACTGCCGCAGCCTCGTTGACCTCCCGTTCCCTCAAGCATACCTGGGTTAATCACATGTTTGGGATGTTTTCTACCTGGGACGGGAATTAATGGATGCAATGGTTTATTCCCCACACAGAATTTTCTTTCATATTTGATTGCAGTTAAGACATATAAGATTTGTTATCAAACTTTGAAGAGCCCGCATTGAGTGCAGCTCTAGAAAAGAATTACCAAAGAATTCCAAAAATGTAAGTTACAGGCTCATGGAGCTATATTGACAGAAAGGAGTGTCATATTCAAACCAAACCTTGAGTTTGAAAGCTTTTGGTCCTGGTAATGCCAACTTAAGCTTCTTTCTTCCTGTATCAATGTCCTGGAGTTACAGAACATTCGGTCCAAGAAGTCGTCTTAGCACTCTGCCAGCCTCTCCCCATTCAGTAGGTTCAG